ACATCTTCAAACAAAGTGCAATATACAGTATTATGCAAAAAGGCAGTAAATGGTCAGTGATTGCACCTTTAAATACTTGGATCACTGGACAATTTAAAGTTATATATTTGTTAATGTTATATTTCTTATTGCATTTAAAATATATTTACACGTGGAAACCCAATGAATCAGAGTGAGCATGTGTGTTTTCATGTGTGCAACAGTGCATGAGTAGGTACATAGAAATTTAGTGTGTTTTTGCTACATCTGTTTATAGGACCACCCTTGCAGAATGAGTTTAGTGAATATCTTGGTGAAGATTCATTTATAAAGTCTATGGGTTTTTTATTGAGACACTTTATTTATACTGCCAAACAGAGTCAAACAGACTCTGGCCTGACAAGTATTGCACTAATGTGTGACCCTCACATTGTGAGATAATGATTCCAAAAAGTACAATGTGCTACAAAGCACAAACTTTGTGCCAGAATTATGTGCCAATTTTCACTGTGATGATAAACTACACACAACACATTCTCAAAGACTGATTACATAGTTTGTAGCACCATATCAACTCAGGTTTTAAAAGATCATCAGCAATCCTTTAAAGCAGAACACAGACTTCTTTCTATATGATTCCCCAGTGAGGTGTTTCATAAAGTAGTGTTGGCAGTTGAGCAAAGCCTTCTTCAGTAATTCAGGTTCCGTTTGAGTTTCACAGAACAGATCAAATAACCCTCCAGAACAGTCCAGTTCTGGCAAAATAAGTTTTAACCCCTAATTCACCACTGCTGCTGTGTAAATACCTTATTAAGAGGTATGATTCTACAATATGACCGAGAACATTCCAGAAATCAGGAAGTCCACTTGGTGACACTTGGTGAAACTAGATTCAGAGTGGGGCACTAGTCATCGGCATGACCGATTTGGAGTGAGGGGGAAAGGAAAAGAATGAACAATTTGGACACTGCAATGGGGAAAGAAAAGAGAGAGAGAGAGCATACAGACCGTGAATTAAATAAATGAAAAAACACAAACTATGGGTGGCAGTACCTGAGACAACCAGGTGGGGTTACATGAGTGTTCTCCAGAAGTACAGCTGATTTCTTTCTGAGTAAGAGTTGAAAAGATAGTTTTAACCTAATGTCCATATTAAATATGAGCTAGAGTCCAGATGATTTACAGCCTTGGTTAGAATTTGTAATAACTGTCATTTTTGTCTATCAAGGGACAGAAATGACAACATATGTAATACCCTGTGTTTCCTTGACTCATTACCGAGTGGTGACAGGTGTGTTTTTTAGAATTTAGACTGCATATAAAAGGTGGACTCAAAGCCTCAAGGTTAGTTTTGGTGCAGCAGCCATTTTTGTTTTTTGGAGCGAAAATAACTATTTGTAAGAGAGGGCAGAGTGCCAAGTTGACAGTGACAACATTGTGTGTCCTTTGTGTATACTTGGTTTAATTTTTTAGTTTGCACTTGCGCTTTTACTGTTTCAGTGTGTTTCAGTTTATTTTAGTGTTCCATTATAT